TACTTTTGTTAGTCCCACAGAGACTAGTTTAGAGAGTTCTACATGATTTCTCAAGCTCTTCTCCTATATTTACATCATCTTCTGAAACTTCTACTACTTCAAGCAGCACAGAAACGTCTTCTACAGATACTACCAGTTCTACAGATTCCACCAGTTCTACTGACACAACTAGTTCCAGTGATACAACCAGTTCAACAGATAATTTTTCATCTTCAACAGAAACATCCTCCAGTTCTAGTTCTAGTTCCAGCTCCAGCTCCAGCTCTAGTTCCAGCTCAAGCACAAGCCCAAGTTCAAGCTCTAGCTCCAGCTCTAGTACCGAAACTTCATCGTCCTTTACATTTTCATCTTCAAGTGAAACTACAACTACTCCTTCATCTAGTGAGATAGAATCTTCATCTACAGAAACCACATCATCTCTGTCAAGTACAGAATCATCATCCTCAGCAACATCTAGTTCTTTCTCCTCCTCATCTTCCTCCTCCTCCTCCTCCTCCTCATCATCATCATCTTCATCCTCCTCCTCATCATCAGAAACCTCATCCACAGAAAGTTCTACTGCCTTGTCGGAAATCACATCCAGCGAAAATCCATCTTCATCATCATCATCTTCTTCATCCAGTGAAAGTTCCAACCCATCATCAAGTTCTTCCTCGGAATCTTCATCAGAATCCTCAACTATCACTTCTTCATCAGAAGAATCATCATCTACTGAAGAATCCTCATCTTCCTCCTTCGCATCATCATCTTCAGAAGAACCTTCAAGTATTTCATCTGAAACTTCAGAAACTAGTGAATCATCCAGTTCTGAAGAATCATCATCCACCGAATCATCTTCATCTTCAATTACAAGTTCATCATCATCTATCAATACTCATTCTACCATTTCCTCATTCACTTCATCAGTTACTTCTGTTATAAGACACCCAGATACTACCATCACTACAGTTATTGCTATTCCAACCTCAGCTGAAGTTGCAGTTGACACTGGTGGTCAAAGCACAGCTGAACGTAATTCCAAATTAATTGGAGGTTTAGTTGGGTCCATTGGTGGTACTATTGTTATTGGTGCATTAGTTGTTCTTTTCTTATTTTTGAAAAAGAGAAGAAGAAATAATTTAACTAATCAACAACCTGATTTTAACGGTGCAATTGTTGGTGGTAGAGGAGATGATGAAGATACTACATTGGAAGAAGATAAAAATATTTATCATGATAATGCAGGTGCTGAAATGACTCAAAAATCTAAATTTGGTTGGTTTTCTTCAATGTTTAATCATGGTGGAAATTCACCAAATGGTGGAGGAGGTGGTGGAGGTGCCGCCCGTCGTTCAAATTCACATTTATTAGCTAGTGGAGGTGCCGCTGCTGCTGGTGTTGGAGCAGGTACATTTAGTAGATTGGATAGATCAGCCGATGATCTAGAACGACAAGCTGGTAATGGTACTAATACTCCTGGAGGATACGGAAGTATGTCGAATAATTTGAATAATAATGGAAGAAATTACGAAGATTCAGAAGATGATTTTGTTTATCGTGGTGTTACAAATTCCAATAATCTTGATTCAATTTTCAGAAGTTCAGGAAGAAATACATCTTCAAATGCTAGAAATTCTACACTTTATAAATCAACTAGATCAAATTCACTCAGTGGAACAAATTCACAACCTACTCAATCGATTGATGGATCTGAAAATATGCATACAAGAATGAATTCATATGGTCATCCATTAGCACATCCAGATGATTTTAATTTCAATGAAGAATCTAAACCAATTACTAGAGGTGGAGATATTTCAAGCTCAGAATATAATGATGATGATATGGATGATGAAAGTGATGGTGAATTCCATCCTTCCGATTATGATTCATTTATAATGCCTGGTGATGAAAGAACAGGTAATATATTTGGCGATGGAAATGATGTTTATGGCTCAAATAATTCGTTGTCAAGATTCCGTGAAGATGTATAATAAATTCTTCTATTCTTTTTATATATAGGTTCAAATCGTTGTTTTTTTCTTTTTCTTACTTTCTTGATCTTTTTCTTTTTTATATTTATATTTTTGGTTTGCATTTAGTTTAATTTTTTTTTTTATTATTATTCATTTAATTAATAAGTTTTAATAGCATTTTTATAAATATATTAGATGTTTGTGTGTTAATTCTAATGTTGATATAGACTTGTCTAAGAACGAATTGAAATTGCAACTAATGCCAAATTGAATAAACCTAAAATAAAGAATGGACTTAAAATCCAATAATCACTTAAAAACCCACCCAAAGTACTAATAATCATAATACCAATACCACCACAGAAACTATAAAATCCACTTAAAGAACCCATAATGTTATGAGCATTTGGAATACCACTCAATACACTCATACTACTAATAATTAACCCAATTTGTGAAAGTCCAATGATACTAACATTAATGAAACAAATGGCGGTTTTCGGATTGTACTGTTTAAAACTTGAGTTTATTAAACTTAATCCTAAATTACCAATTAATCCAACTACACCAGATAATGCTAATGTTTTAGTCTTTCCAAATTTTGGAGAATCAACCAAATATCCCCAAATCGGTGCAGATACCAAAGCAACAGTTTGTGCAACACCTGTTAATATAGCTGAAAATACATAACCTTCATGACATGAAATCTTACCTGCCCAATTTCCATTTCCTGTTTTACATTCTCCAATGTTATAATACCATTCATAAACCATTAATGGGATAAACATGGCTGTTGCAACAGTTGTGGATCTAGCAACAAATGCTCCCATATATGCCAATTGAGCTTGCTTGTCAGTTTTGGAAAATTCAAAACCTTCTTTAAGTAATTCCATATATGATTGTTTACTAGATGATACTTCATCAATTTCTAAATCTCCTTTAGTTGGATATAAAAATATAAACAATATACCAAATGAAATCAAAGCAAATGCAACAAGAATCAAATATGAATATTTCAAACCATCTTTCATTTCCCAATCATCGTGATTATCAACAAATTTAACTGGTAATGTAACAAATAAAGAAACTGAAAAAATTGCTCCCAATCCAGTACATACCCCCATTATCCCAGCATATTTCCCGTTTTTCTTATCCACAACTAAAACTTGTTCTTCATTATCTTCATCATTTTCATCAACAAGGGGTAAATAATTCAAAGGTTTTGGTTTCCAAAATAAAAATTTCCTAAATTCAAAATCGGATATTGTTAATTCATTAAGTACAACAGTAACCATACTCATACAACCAGTTACACCAATCGCAAATAATATTCTAAATATAAACATTTCTGGTACTAGGTTTTTACAAAATAAAGCATATCCTAATAATGACAATGCAATTATTAAAAAACTTGAACTTTGAATAATTTTTGATCCACTATAATTCCAAATATTTAAATTATCATTTAATGCCCCTAATAAAGGAGCAACAATCATTGCTGTTAATTCATCAAAAAATCCCAATAATCCAACAATATGTCCAATTTTTTTATCTTTTGAAGTACCAGGTTTAGGTTCAATTCCAATAACTTCTTTAATATAAAAAGGTTGAGTTGCCGTAAGAAATACAATTATTGCAATACATGCAAACCCAGCATAATTAAATGCTAGATAATTTATAGCTGAATAGTTGATATATTTCTTGTAATTCATATTTCGTGATATCTAATCAAAAAGAAAGAAAGATGAATAAGTAACACGTAGTTTGACGGGTTTTTTGCTTTTTCTCTTTTGGTTGATCCTTTGAATTGATTTTCAGTCAATGCCGATCATGGAGTTTATAATTTCCATACACGCGCGCAGATCTCGGAGATAACTAAAATGCAAAACATAACAGGGGGACCTGTTAAACATTGATTCATGTCAATGTAAGAATTAATATCTACAATCTGTATGTTGGTTCTATGATTACTATATTACATCTAAACTAGTAATATATACACCTTGAGTTCATGCATCACATTGCTTTTGCGATTTTGTAATAACTTTATCTTACATAAATCTGAGACAGTTAAAAAGGACCACATACACCAGTTACCTCACTTTATAAGCACTGTCATGTATAGTACAATCATTCAATTGTTAACGTACAGTTATAACCAAAATGAAATAACATGTTATCATTCATGCTGCTATCATCTGTGGTCATTAGCAAGAGGACATTTTCACATGATGGCGAAGTAATCCCTAGCATGTATATGTACAGTCGAGGAGTTGTCTGACTTTAATTCATACTCTTTGAAAAAATTTAAACCAATAATTGAGTATTTGGGAGTATAAATACTGAATTAAATTCACTTAAATGAATTTCAAAATAATTCTAATTAACGCGATGATATCATGGAATGGAATAGGTACTGAGGCTCATAGGTTATAGTTTATACTTAATTGTGTATGAGTTGACTTGATTCCAGTAACATTTACCAAGAATTCTAGCATCTGTTTTTTTTATATTTCTTTAATACATAATGTTTATTTATTTAAAAATTTAATACCTGTAGACAGGAATTCCATGAGCCTATGATAAAATGGTTAGTCCCAGTCGTGTTGAATATTCCATTAACTGGTGCAAGACAAGGATCTCCATTGGTGAGGCACACGACAAAATGTTGACATAGTTAGATTAATATTACCGCCTTTCATCGAATAAACATTCTGACTAATTAGACTTTGAATGAATCGAAAACGTGCTTCAGTAATACAATTCCGTCTTCTATTAATGATATGACAATAGAAGTCTTTTTCTTAGTTGAGTTCAAAAAGTTACTAAACGATACAAAAGAAAGACAAAAATATTGCTGCTTTTCATTAAACTACCAACTAATTCTTTAGTGGAAATTTCATTTCAATGATGAATGTAATTGCTTATTAATCGTCAAGTGATTTATATCCGTCGATCATTATTCCGATGGTATGGTTATTAATTACATCCGAGGGGGAGGGGCACATGTATGCGTCTTATTAGAAATATAGGGGTAATAATAATAATAATAATTGATTGGGCCAAGAAATATCAACTAGTATAAACATGGCCCATGTGTTTTAATTTATATTCAGTTTATTCTTCAAACAGGTCGAAATGCATGTAACAATCATATCGGAAATGACAAAAACTTTGGAAAACAAAGTTTAACCAGATCAAGGCAAAAAGACGCAATTCTAAAGGAGAAGGTTAGTAGATTTCAAGCGGATAAATTAATTCACTATTTCCTATTGTTTCTCTCTCTCTCTCTCTCTCTCTCTCTCTCTCTCTCTCTCTCTCAAACTACTTAACTACTCAATTGTGCTGAAACCACTCGTGTGAGTCTCTAGTTCTATGCATTGTTCTTTTGATCATGAATGAGTTGGTGATATTATAAACTACACAACACAGTGAATCTCCCACACCCGATCTTATGGGACCAGGCCATCTTGACAAATCTTTCAAATGATAACCTCTGCTGTTTATTGTCAATGAAATGGTGATAATTTTCTTGACTTTTAAATTAGAAAGGAATTTACTTTCATTTTTTCTTGGGTTGCATTTCACCATTGTTTGCATCTGGGGGAGAAGGCCCATGTGGTGTGAAATTTCTTTCGCAACCACTGCCACCACTGGCACAACCATGAACCACCACTACCATGAACCACAATTAATTAATTAATTCATATTTTACTCTTTTTCTCTGAACTACAATGCATCTCTTTGAATTATAAATAGTCAATTGTTTCTTTTCTTTTTATTCCGAATACTTTTTGATCTTGATATTTTTATACTTCCCCAGATTCACAATCAAAATTATTAAAACTCCTGCACAATGGCTTTCATTTTCCCAAGATTAATCAATATTTCAACTTTAGCATTAGCTGTATACTTGTATTTATTTACCAATGTTGAAGCTATTCCAGTTGATAACTCCCAACCAAAAAAGAAAAACATTATTTTCTTAGTTGGTGATGGTTTTGGACCAAGTGGTGTTAATTTAGCCAGAAATTATAGACAAGTAGAACAAGGTTTATCAAGAAGAGATTTATTGAATTTAGATGGTCATTTAATTGGTACCCAAAGACATTCATCAAATTCTTCTTATATTACTGATTCAGCTGCTGCTGGTACTGCTTTAGCTACTGGTAAAAAAACTGTCAATGGTTACATTTCCGTTGATCCTGAACAAAACCCAGTTGGTGCCATTGGTGAAGCTTTGAAATTACAAGGTTATGCTGTTGGCTTAGTTGTTACTACTTCTGTTGGTGATGCTACTCCATCTGTTTGGGCTGCCCATGCAAGAACTAGAAGAGATCAAGATTTAATTGTTGAACAATTGGTTGGTGAAATTCACCCATTGGGTCACATCCCAGATTTAATCTTGGGTGGTGGTAGAGACTGGTTCATTGGTGTTAATGATGGTGGTAAAAGACCAGATAACAGATCTTTAATTGAAGAAGTTCAAAATAACGGTACTTGGACTTATGTTGGTGACAGAGAAGGTTTTGATAGTTATGATGAAGGTAGAAATGCTACTTTACCATTCTTGGGTTTATTTGCTGAAGATAATTTCCCATATAGAATTGACCGTGATGATGCTGAATATCCAAGTTTGGTTGAACAAACCCAATTTGCTTTGAATGCATTATCCAACTATACAAAGGATTCTGACCAAGGTTTCTTCTTGATGGTTGAAAGTTCTAGAATCGATCATGCCGGTCATGAAAATTGTGTTCAATCCCATGCTTTGGAAGCTCTTGAATATGATGAAGTTTTTGGTTTGGTTAAGAATTTTACTAGAGAAACCGATGTTGACACTGTTGTTATTGCTACTGCTGATCACGAAACTGGTGGTTTGGTTCTTAACCTTCAAGGTCCAAGAGATTTCGATCCTGTTTTCAACGCTACCCACTCTGGTGAATACTTAGCTAATGAAATTGCCAACTATGAAGGTGATGATTTGCTTGGTTTTATTAGAACTACTGTTATTGAAGAAGGATTAGGTTTGACCAACTATACTGAAGAGGAAGTTCAAAGATTAGCTGATTATGTTGATAACAGTTCTGAAGGTATTCTTTACACTACTGCTCTTGGTGTTGCTATTGCTAATTTGACTTCATCTAGAGCCAGAGTTCACTGGGGTTCTTTACAACATACATCTGTTGATGTTGATTTGTATGGATTCTCCAATGCTGATTATTTGACTCAAAAACTTTTGAATGTCAGAACTGGTTTGGCAGGTGTTCACGAAAACACCGACTTTAGTGTCTTTATCAAATCCATCACTGATATTGATTTAGATGAAGTCACTGAATTGATTGCTGATGTTCCAACCAGATACTAAATGAAGATTCTTTAAAGGAGGTTTTCATTGTATTCTCAGCTCATACCATATTTCATTATAGTACTTTTCTTTTTCTTATTCTTCTTCGTTATTTGTCTTTTCTTAAAAATATATATACATGAGTTTTAAATACATTATAAATCATAGTAGGATTCTCTATCATCTGGTGATATCTTGTTGTGCTGGGTTATATCCTCCCCAACAATCATCGAATCGTTAAATGAAATCGGATCACAAAATATCAAACAAGATCGGTGAAATTTTCAGCCACCACACACGACCACCAATTTTTCTTTTTATGTTAGAGAAAATTTTTTCTTTAACAAAAATTTTAATCCACGGAAGAAAAAAAAAAAAAAAAAATAAAATAAAATTCCACTGTTAGCAATATTTATACAAATAAAGTAGTACGACCATTAAATTCAAGCAAAGACTTGTATTGATTCTTATACCAAAAACATGATAGAGGTGTTATTAACTGTGATACCTTCTATTTGTTGGCTATTATACAGGTTCTACCTGATTTTGAAAACTCCCGTGGAGAAATTAATAGAAGATTTAAACATTGAGATTCCTCATACTCCAATCTTGTGCATAGATTCCATTTCAGAGACATCTATTATTATACATTGGGATATTGAAGTTAAATATGATGAAAATTTGTATTATGTCATTGTCATAAATGAACAAGAAGCAGCAACTTTGACTTCTACTTCATGTAAATTAAACAACTTGTCTCCTCATCAACTTTATCGACTTGAGATTATAGCCATTAATTCAATTACTAATTTCAAATCACAATCCAAACCAGTGTATGTTCAAACATGTGATCCTAACAACCTTGATGAAAAAGTCAATATTGATACTTTAGAATCTAGTGTCAAAGAATCTATTGATACTACCCAGATTTCCGATGACTATACATTGGAATCAATCACTATAGATCAAATCAAAACCATTAAAGATGCATCATTATTGAATGCATATGTGATGAAATTTCAAAATGAATTAACTAAAATTAATTTGGAATACAAACAATACCAATCAAGTGTTACTCCAGAACTTGAAAACTTACAAAGAGAATTGTGTCTGTATAAGCATGAATTGGATGAAGAAACCGATAATAAACTGAAAAAGGATAATGACGTAAGGACATTGGAAAAATGTAAAGATAAATTAACATTTAAAAAATCAAAATTAATTACTCAATTAAATACATTAAAAAACTCATTAGCATTATTCAATACAAAAGCCCAGGAACGGGAAACTCAAATCAAGAAATTACGTGATAGAAATGCCCAAGCATTGGCCAGTGAAGAACAAGACAAATCTAAATTTAAAAAAGAAATTGTTACAATTAGACAACAAATTGATCAGTATAAAGCAGACATGGAAAAAATTGAAGAAAACTTGAAGAATTTAGTAATTGAAAGAAAAGAATTGATTTCCATTTTGAATCAATTGAAACCATTAGTTGAAATTTTCAATCAATCCGGAAACTCCAACACCCCACCGGATTCTATTGCCCAACAACAGACATTACAGCAACAAAATAGCGGAGGTAACAATAACAGTGCAAACAATGCATCCATTTTTAACAAGGATGGTTCCTTGACCAAACAAGCCTTTGATGCAATTGTAAAAATATTGCAACTCATTCCAGCATGGCAAGACGAAATCATGCATGAAATTAATCAATACCAAGAATTTGAACAGCAATGGAAAGAGGCATTTAGGTCAGAAATCAAGAAATTTGTATCCATCCATCAAGCTTTGGAACTTGCCAGAATGAATTTGGATAAGAATTATCAACCAGTTAAAATGACTGAATATCAAGCTTCTATTGAATTTGGTGGATTTAGTAACGCATTACCAAAACCTAAATTCAACGGTAAGAGAAATTTATCCCCAGTCGAAGATCATAATAGACAAACAAGTAGTTTCTACAATCATTACAGCAATGTTTATTCCAAAGAAGAATCAGATAGTGATGGATTAGGTTCACCTCTTGGACAACAACAGGTCATTACACAACATTTACAGCAACAACTGCCAGAGAATATTCCACCTCAATTGTTGGGCAATGATTATTTAGTAGGCAATAGCAGTAATACCTATCTTCCAGACCAACAGCAGCAACCACAATTGCAGCCATATATTAGTTTAGAGCAGATTAACGCTGTTCGTAATTTCGATCTCAATGGTGGTGCCACTGCCAATTCCAACCCATTGATTACTGTTGATAATGGACTTACTGGTAACTCCCAATTTCAAGGATTCCCATACGACGATACTATTTATTCTACTAGTATTAATTCCCCATTACCGATTCACAACACCACCATTGGCACTGGCACTACAAATGGTGCTTCTGTAACAAGTAATAATCCTACCGATGCTTCCGGTGCCAATGCCAATGACAATGCCAACTTGATACCAAATTATGGTGATTATAATTCCTTGTTGTACAGGTATAGTTCTCCATCATTATCGCAAAGCAACTTGAATGACGGGGTTTGGGGTACTACAAATTTGAGTTCAAATGATTTACTTAATCCATCAACGCAACAAAGTGGATTTTTGATGACTCCTTCACAGTCAGCAAACATATGGTTGGATGATAAGACTCAAAACTCATTACTTAATCCAAATTCTCATGTTCGAAATGTTTCCAACAATTCCCAAATTTGGAGAAATGATATTGCTGCCAATTCAACTGCCAACAACAATTCCTCACACGGCTTCAACTTTGGTGGTGCTGGGGCTGTTCCTAATAGTTCCGATTTCGAACCATTCGGTATTAGCATCAGTAACAATGGTAATTATGGATTTAATCAAACCAATTTGCCGCCAACTAAATATGTAAATGAAGAAGAGAAAAATTCAGCAATTGATGGAAATGTAACTGAAAATGGGGAAGCACAATGGTAAGAGAGGAGGAAGAAGAAGAAGAAATGGGTCATTAGATGGGGAGGTATTATTTGTAGTAGTTTTTGTTTTATAGATTGTATAGTTCCTTCAACATAGAGGAGAAGAAGCAGAATTAAACATTGTCATCAATACAGATATTGCTGCAAATTTCTTAACAAAAAGAAACTTTTGTAAAATAAAGATCTTTGAAATGCATGATACACTTCTTTGATAGAAATTTCTCCACTCAATCCCGTGACTTAGAAGTCCCGTGAACGTCCGAGTTTTTTGTTTGAAACAACAACCACTTTAGTTACACAAATCACAATACTGTGGTGTCCTTGCGGCATTCTTTTTAGAAGACGTTGGGGGGGGGGGCGTTTTTAGGATTTTGAATTTTTTTTTAGTAAGGGCAAAGTCCGGTGGTGCTGTACGATGAGTGCGGTGGTTTTGTAGGGCGATCTGAAAGGGTGTGCACTGCACAAAAGTTGTGGTGGAAGGAAAAAGAAATTTCTGGCGACAGTTTCCTTAAAAAAGAAAAAATAAAAAGCAACGTCAGCACAAACTCGCGCGGAAAAACTTTGTGTTTCGGGTTAACATTGAGAAATTTTATACCGATGAGGAGGAAGTGGGAGGAGCAGGAGGAGATGTTTCTCAATTACAGAATTATAGTAAAGAAGGGAACATGCAAAGTTAGTTGTGTCATCTGACTATTGTATGAGTAATAATTTTCTTTTTCCTTTTTTTATAAGTATCAACAACAGGACAAGTGTAGTTAATATTTTTTTATTTATTTTCTTTTACTATTTTCCTTATTATCTTCCTTTATCTTTATTCATTTTCGTTTATTCCTTTTTACTATGACATTGGATGAAGAAGAAGTTTTCAGCACTTTTAATGAGTTCAGAAGTGATACCTTTACTGTTCCAACCAGGGCCATGATTGAAGATGGTTTCCTTAATGCTACATATGGGGATTCAGTATATCTTGAAGATGAAGCTACTTTGAAATTAGAAAGTAAAATGTGTGAACTTACCGGTAAACCAGCAGCTTTGTTCTGTGTTAGTGGAACCATGTCTAACCAAATTGGTGTTAGAACTAACCTTGTCCAACCCCCATACAGTGTATTGTGTGATTATCGTTCTCATATCTATTTGCATGAAGCGGCTGGGTTGGCTACTTTGAGTCAAGCCATGGTTCATCCAGTCAAACCAGCTAACGGAGACTATTTAACTCTTGAAGATATCTTGGATAACATCACTTATGACGATGGGGATATTCATGCTGCACCAACAAAATTAATCTCATTGGAAAACACTTTACATGGGATCATAATGCCAATTGAAGAAATTGAACGAATTAGCAAGTTTTGTCGTGAACATGAAATCAGATTACATTTAGATGGGGCTAGATTAATCAATGCATCAGTTGAAACTGGTATTTCACTCAAAGAATATTGTCAATATTTCGATAGTGTTTCTATTTGTTTATCCAAATCACTTGCTGCACCAATTGGATCCATCCTTGTTGGTGATCAAAAATTCATTACCAAAGCCACTCATTTCAAGAAACAACAAGGGGGTGGTATAAGGCAAGCTGGGCTCATGACAACCATGGCTATCCATGCCTTGGATTATAATACGCAAAAAATCAAGAAATCCCATGATATGGCTAAAGATGTTGGTAGATTCTGTAAAGAACATGGAATTATTCTTGAATCTCCAGTTGATACAAATTTTGTATTTATTGACTTGAAAGCTAATCGTATGGATCCAAAATTGTTTGTTGATTTGGGAAGAACTAAATATAATGTTAAGCTAATGGGAGGAAGAATTGCATTCCATTTCCAAGTAAGCCGGCAAGCTGTGGAAAACCTCAAGTCTTGTATTTTGGAATGTTTTGAATATGCTCAAGAACATCCACACAAGTATGATGGTAAAAACAACAAGAAGATGTATGATTTCGAGGCAATGAAAAAGTAACGTATATAGGTGATGATATCTTTTAGTTCTGATTGTAGTAATATTTCAAAGATATAATGTTTTTTGTGGGGGAGTTTATTTTGATTATTATTTTGAACTACTTCAATGCATATTTTATGTTTTATAGATGATCTTGTAGTTGTGGTGGTAGTATAATTTCGTCCTGTGTTAATACTGTTCTAGCCGTCTGGTTATATCCACAGTGATACAACTACGATAATTCTTTCACAACACTAGATTCTATTAATATCAAATTAGGTTTATTATTCGTCAAAACTACATTCAACTTACTCTACTTCGTTGTTGATATTGTTGATCTCTTCGTCACCAACTTTCTTCAAAATAACTTCACCATATTCACTCAACTTGATCTGAGTTTCAATATCAAGTTTAAATAAAGTCTGATCGACTTCACCACCATAACTCTTTGGTAATTCACTCTTACTGAAAAACTCCAGTAAATCGCCATGATTCAAAACTTGGAACTTGTTCAAAGTTTCTTGACTAATAACACCAATGGTTTTGAAAAATGTAAATACCCAACCCATAAGCAATGGAACATTGATGAAGAATTTTGTACTCAACAATTCAGGATAATTATCACCAAAAATAGTAATGATTTCTTTGGTAGCTTTCTTCATTCCTGGATCAATTCTAAGAATAGAAACATTGTTATAATCATGAACTTGAGCAATTCTATTATTATCCTTATTTGTGAAATCAATAAGTTGTAAAGATTTTTCCATTAATCCAATTCTCCATCTTAAAAATTGACTTCCTGGCAATTCAACATTTTTATTATTAGCACCGAATTTTTCAAAAATTTTCTTTGGATTTTTCAAATTACCATAAAGATTCCAAGTAGTTACATGTAATTTAGATTTCAGGAAATCAGTGACAACACCTAATTCATTTAATTCATCATCAAAAGTTTCATCAAATGCAGCACTTAATGGTTGAAATTCATTTCTCCAATTTAATGTTTGAATTATTCTTTTAATTGCCAAATCTAAATCATATGCATCAGCAGCTAAGAATTTCAACAATATTTCATTACGAATTGCCTCATTAACATATTGTTTATCACTTGTGTTTATTCTATGACCAAAAATTTCATCATATTCTGGATTATCGACTTTGCTAAGAATATCAGGAATTGAACTGATTAATTTGGCAAGTTTTTCAGCTTCGTCATCTTTCAACTCTGTTGACTTAATAGTTGATTTGACTTCTTCAATGGATGTGGTCATTATCTATTGGGTTGTTGTAGAAGGAGAAAGTAAGTTGAATTATTAATTAAAAAAAAATTGTTTGATTAATTTCCTGACGGGTTTAAGAATTCTTTAACGAGGTGTTAACATAAAATCCACGGCGGAAAAGGTTTATGGTTTTTTTTTTTTTTGTGCCCTGTGCAATTTAAACGAGGCGTCAGAAAGATATCGCAGTTGTCGATCATGGTAGGTTTATCGAAAAGATCAGCAAAACAGTACATCTAATGATTAACGATGGTCTATTAACAGTTTTAGATTATCGTTAGGGTACTACAGACTGGACATATATATTGGTACATGAATGGGTCTTCTCTGGACTCTTGGTAAAGTTCCCTATATATTATTGTGCTTGGAATATTGATGAAGAAGACCATATTGAAACAAAACATATTCCATGCAACCAACCACATGAATCTTAACATTTTTGCAAATACAGAAGGAGTCACTTCCATCTTTGTCATTCCATTGATGGTTGTGAAGGGAATTGAAATGGATTGTCAAATTGTGGAAAAAAAAAACATTTTGTATCACGTGACACAAGAAATGATTATTTGCAGATCAATTCAAATTTCATGACTCCCCCGTTTTTTCTATTGTTAACTGTTGAATTGTTTATGATAAAGAAGTCATGTAATTAAAGAAAGTTAATTATATTATTGGCACTATGGATGGATTACCATCGTATGAAGAACCTATTCCTCCCAGTTACCCTATTGGAGAATGCAATGAATATGCCAAGTATGGACAATTTCGTAGTTATAATTATTCTACCCTTGATAAAGATGAAGAGATTAAAAAGAATCATTTTCAACAACCTCAATTCATTCCTAATATCACGGAGATTATAGCCCATTTGAATTTATTAAAAGCATTTGAGAAATTAAAACAGAATTTTACTGATGATAGTTTGATGAATGATATGGATCGAGATAAAAAGTGGAGATTATATTTAACTATTTCTGTTAAAAGATTTATTATTTTCATATCTGCTTTGAAATCACTGATGCCTATAATCCAAATAGATAAATTAACTGGTGTTGATCCAAGAGATCAGGAATTTACATCAATGACAAATGAATTAACCCCACCTTTAGATGTGATTATGGTATGGCATGCATTTATGTTGAATCCAATGTCATTTTATGATATTTTTGCAAGATTTGATATGTATTATTTTATCAATTATCCATTTCCATTACATATTATTAATTCATATATTGATGATCAAAGTTATGAGTTTAAAGTTCCTGAAGAGAAAAAGAAGAAGTATTTGGCATTTGTTGGGAAATATGCTAAAGATATAATAGATTATGAATTTGAACTTGATGTGGATTTGAGTCAACAATTTGTAACATTGTACTGTCCACGAACTAAAATGAAGATATCGAAACCTATAAAATTGACTGATTTCGTTGATGGGAATTTTTTAACCAAGAATACTGGATTTAAGTTTAATAATATTATTTATGATAATTATACACCATTGACTATAACCCATGATCAATTATTAAAAATTAAATTAGACTATGATGTTGAACAACCAAGACTTTTAGAAGGATCGTTGAAATATTGTTCAAAAGAATTGTCAGCACCAGGATTTACTGATATAGACCCTGTTAGTCTAAGCAGTAAGATATCAGAATCTGTTATTGAATCATCAAGACAAGTATTTCGAGAATTAAATGCGGGAACTCCAGAATTAGTCGAACCAACATTTGATGAAATTATTCAAAGAGTCGAGAAAGATTCTCCTACTCTTAAAAGAAAAGTCAAAGAATCTATTATATTTGGTAATTATAAACATTTTAATATGATTAGTTTAACAGTTCAAGGTGGTGTACAAATTGGTGAAGATTTAGTTGAATGTGTCATTCGTCAAGAAAAATTTAGGAACATTATAAATGAACTAAATTGGTTGAATTCACCTTTGTTGAAAGAAGGCTTATTGGAATCCTTGGATAGATATCACAGATTTTTTGCACTTATGACTAAACGAACAGATAAAATATTAGTACCCACATTGGATATAGACTTGGTATGGCATACACATCAGTTAATGTTATATGGATATATCAGGGATTGTAAATACAGCCCATGTCAAACGGTGATTGATCATAATGATAAAGTACAAGAGAAAACTCTAGATTATGGGTATGATTATACTTTGAAATTATATAAAGAAGAATATGGTGAAGATTATTCAATATGTTTCTGCAATTATTGTTACAGTAAACGGAATAAGAAGTTATCTCATGTTTTCAAATCACTGAAGAAAGAAAAGGATGCTGTTAGATCAAACCCATTGTTTGTTAAAGATAAAGAAGGTATTACACATCCAAGTGAACATAAGAGTGTATCATCATTTGTTGCTTGTGCTTCTCGAGGAACACTTAAAGTTTCTTCTACTAATGGGATAGCTTTCGGGCCGATAACTACCGGGGTTCATTTTAGAAAAGAGGAGCTGTAAACTGTGTAGAATTATAATGAATGATTTTAAATTCGTAATTTTAAGCTTAATGAAAACGCTTATGTAATAGTATCAAATGACAGGGGTTTTAATTTTCATGTCTAAATATTCCTTGCATAATATGCATTATACGACTTTTCATCTACAAAAACAATCTACTCTGATGAAGAGTGGAGATATCTCTTGTGTATTATCTGTTTCAAGATTTGCCAAACATAGTAAAAGGTCTTGTTTACTTACAACAGATGACAAACCAAATTAAATTGCAACGGGGTATAAAATCTCATATATTGATAATATAGAACGAAACAGAAGAAGGTTGAAAAAGAAGTTAAACGGATCACGAAGAATTATAATAATTAAAAGAATCTCTTAAAGAATGCAATCAAACCATTTGATTCTCTCTTAACTGGGAAACTTGCAGCTGGTGCAATATCTCTCTTGAAACTAAGATCAGCAAGGAAAGAAGCTAATAAACTAACTTCAGTACCTTGACCATATGGACAACTAAAATTTGAAGCACCATTGAAGTAAACATCCAAACCACTACCAGTTGTGTTCAAAGTTCTGTTAAGTGGAGCATCTGAACAAACAATAAATTTAGTAGAATTGGCGTAACTCAATAAACCATTTTGGAGATGGAATTCTTCAGCACTAGAAATTGATGAATTAGCTTCAACAACAACTAATTGACTAGTTTCATCATCAACAACAACAGTATAAGGAACTGATTTATTGGTACCGGTAGTTTCATTAGTGGCTGCAACATGCAAAACATAACCACCTTCAGCATCAATTCTACCAAGGAATGGGAAATCATTAGTACCGATTTTAAGGGCAGTACCATTGAAAGTTAATACATTGGCATTGGTAATAGTTCCATTGTGAAGGGCAAGTAAGGAGAAAATTGGAGAACTTGGGGTGAAAACAAATGGAGCTGCTTCAACTTGGAAGAAAAAGGTGACTAAAGTGAATAATAAAGTTGCGAAAGTGTTCATTGTGAGTGATGTTGAAACTTTTAAAAACTATTCGTTGATGATTGCAAAAAAAAAAAGAATTTCAAATTTAAGAAAAAAAAGTAACTTGACAGATCTAATGCCATTTATATAGACTCAAGATTATCAAGGGATGAGTGAGTCAAAAAGGTCATCGCAAAGTAGATTTATTGTAATAGGATATGTATGGGTTAGTATAGCATAGTTTATTTTTTTTCTTTTTTTTTTTTTTAATTTTTCTTCAGTATGTACTGTTTGCTACCCCGAAAGTTCAATTCCATTACTTCCGAAGGCGGCGGCAAATATTCTTAGTGCAACTTTCGGGTTCCAGAATTAATTAAAATGCATATTAAAGCAACCATATTTTTTGTTTCTTCACTTTTGCTTCTTATCCGTTGATTCCTCAATTTGGATATTTCATGTCTTAAATTGGCTCATTTGGGTATACCCGATGCGATCTGGAATGAACTGTTCCGATCTTGGAATATATATAATGGAAAAAAAAAAAATTAATCATTACGTAAATCCAACCCTTATTTACCGGAACTCAATTTGCTATAGATTCTTAGTGTTATTGTTGAATGAATTAGTATTACCAAAATCTTACAAATCATTAATGTTTCGATTTCACTTTATTCTTCTAGAACTAGCTTTTTCTTTCTATAATAGGTGTAGTCCCAGAAATTCCATTCCGAATTTATCGGCATCACCATCATCTGTTTTTCAATTAAAGTTCTTCTCAAAACATCTCCGACACACCGCCACGGCCGATACTCAAGAAATGATTGTAATCAGTTCACAAGAGAAACCCTCCCATCGATTGCTCTTGGTATCATGTAAACTATTCTATGCACGTGTATGTACGTAATTTCTGAGAAGAGCATCAATTCTAGTATATTAATGACGAACTAATTACTAAATTTACACCTGAAATAGCAATTGTAAAAATAATAAATAAAAAAACAATATATATTATACAATAATCGATGAATGTAGAACTTGTAAAGTTGATATTTTGAATCTCTCCCTCCCCCAAATACGTAATGGTTATAATTATTTTTTTAACAATTTCAATTAATTTAGTCAATATCCGAGCAATGCAGTTAATTTATCTCGAAGGACAAAGAGAAACTATTATGCTACCCCTATTCTTATAATTCTGTCGTTTATTAACCAATATACAATATGAATGATGTCTTTTTTTTTTCTATTTCTTTTTCCCCATGGTTTCTCCTTAGCAAATAAGAGGCTTGAAAAGATTTAGCCTTATTCTTGTTCATTAACTTGGAAAAATTTGGGTTAATATTAATGGCTATGTCAATTCAATAAGCTCAATCTTGGCATAACCATAGTCATTCTTAATATCTTTCAATCAAATACAGATACAGCCTTGTTTTGTCTAACATCTATATAACCAATAAATTGACACACAATATAGAATATATTCTCGAAAACGTTCGAGAAACCCATTGTCTACAATTCATTGGTGAGAGTTTATCGACTTTGTATGGGTGGATCAAATTCAAGAATTAAATTTGCTACCATACTTATTGGGAAGCACACGACCATCGGTTATAAAACAAGAAATACCGTTTCTCGAGATGTGCAATGAGAGAATGTGTGGCAGAGATGATGGAAGGGACCATAAAGAAGAAAAATTGTCGATACAAGACGATTTTAATAAATAAACATATGTATAAAATATATTTTTAAATAATTGAAGTAAAAGAATTATTAATATCTCTATAAACTTATTTACAAAGCAACAGCTGGTGGACAACCCAAAGCTTTCTTCAAAGAACCGTAGATGGTGAATTGTAAAGAAGTCAAGGTACCGACCATAACCAATCTGGTTGGTAAACCGGCGAAAGAACCCTTGAAACCTAATTGTTTAGCCAATTGGACCAATAAACCGACAGTGGATTGACCTGGAGCCTTCTTGGTCTTGTTAACCTTGGACAACAAAGTATCAGCTGGTTGGGAAACGATAGCAGCAGCACAACCGGCAATGATACCGGAACCTAAGTTAACAACAGTGTTAGCACCAGTGGACAATTCAGATCTTGGGGTTGGGATAGCAGCGTAGATGGCTTCGGAAGCTCTTTCGAAAACCAAGAATTTAGCAATGTTATATGGAATTTGTTTGAACAAGATTGGGGTGAAACCATTGTAGAAAGAACCGACACCTTCTTCTTTCAAGATTCTGGAGAAACCACCAATCAAACCGTTAGCAAAAGTTGGTTGGGAAACCAATCTGATTCTGGTAGCTTCCAATGGACACAAAGCAATATCAGCAAAGAATTCAGCCAAAGCAGATGAACCAATGTAGACAGAGTCCTTGTATTTCTTAGCAGTGTCGTAGCCCAAGTATTCGATAAATTGTTTTTTGAACAATTCGTAACCACCGAATTTGAAAGCACCTTGCATGGAGTAACCCAAGACAGTTGGTCCTAAACCGGTCAACAAAGCACCAGCACCTTCACTTTGGACAACTTGTTTGAAAGAACCAAACATACCTTTGTTGTAAACAGTTGGTTCTAATTGGATTCTGGTTTTGACAACATCAATTGGAGTCATGGCACCGTGGGTGACACCACAACCGATAGCACCAGCCAAGGCAAAAGAAGCGTAATCTTTAACAGTGTAGTTTGGGATCTTTGGTTCAGCCATTGTGAATAGTTATTTAAGAATAGTTAATTATAAGATCTATAAAAATATTAACCAACAAGAAGTAAGATCAAGAAGAAAAGAAAGTAACAAGAAGTGAAAGAAAATTTTTTTTTTCTGTTTCAAAGCAATTGAGAAGAAGCGAGTGAATAAAATAAAAAAAAAGAACGCAACGTTGATTGATTGATTAGAAAAAAAGGTTTCCTTTCTTGCTGGGCGTGTGTGCTCCCCTATCACCGCGTATGATTGGTACGCTGCGGGCGAAATCCTACACCCACGGAAGAATTTCTTTTGGTGCGTGAATAATCTGGTCCCGGGATTACACGCCCTTGCATTTTTTTTTTCTTCAAAGTAACCGGCGGGCATTTTCCTGCGATCTGATTGGCTGACAAATTTAAATTGCCGCAGAATACGTTTTTGGATAAGCAACGTTTTCCATTCACACACACACACACACACGCAAATAAATTTTGCAGGATCCGGGAATGTGGAAGAAATATAGAAATAATTCAATTTGCAGTCATTTTCTATTTCTCTCATCATGGTAGTAGCGACATGGATGACTTTGATGTGGCAAATTGATCATGAATTCCTAAAGTCTATTTATGATCAATAACGTTACTTCTTGCCACTATGTAGAATGTTTTCAAAAATGTTCGATTTAACATACGTTTGATATATAATTGATTGTCCTCCCCCCCCCCCCCAACGCAAGAAAAAAAAGAAAAGATCCATAAGTTTCCCCCAAATTAATCTTCGTTATCATCTCGGGGATAGATGATTGTAATAGTTAGAATTGCTGTAAATGAATGACTGTTTTCTCTATATGATCAGTGATGATTCTCCATACTTTAAATACACACGGCTGATGACTACTGTACTTTCCTTCGTAAACTACAATCAGCCATATACAGGGGAAAAATAGGAGAGAGTTAAAGTAAGCCTTTCATATCAAAGCATAAATATTCAAAACCTTTTTTTATCTTTAAAAAGAGAAAAATCATCAAGAGTCACATCAATGATAACGAATTGAAACTTAAGATTTCTTAGATATCGGCATTTGTCTAAAGTTAAGAATAAATTCGAACAAGTTGTAAATACATACTTTAACATGTTAAACTTGATAGCTACATTCATTTAGGATTAACCTTTTTTTGGCTCAAGAGCACCTAGAATTTGAATAAGATTGAAGTTAATGATGTTAATGTTAAAACTTGCAATCATAATTTTATATATTATGGCCTAATTTTTAATTATGGGATATCACTCATAACCAGAATATTATATATATTGAAATGATCTTTCCCAGAGAGAATGACAGGTTTAAATCGTGCATTGTGAGAGGGCAAGAAGTAGCGATGATAGGAACTATATATTTTGAAAAGCACTCAGGACCAATTTTCTTCTGATTATTTCTTCGATTAAGATTATCATTAAATAATCATGATCTTATAGTTGGTAAATAGTACTTTTAACCTGGATGTCTCAGAGGGTATATAGGAACAAACAATCATCAAGATAAAGCCGTGCAAACTTTCAATCACTCGTTCTCACTAGATTGAAACAACCACCGGCAGTGGGTAATTACTATAATTAATCCTGATCACGTTATCCAGTTCCTGTTGACCTATTTATTTGTTTTGTTCAGTGGCAACATGGTAGCTCAGCCTTTCATAAAATAAAACATGGGTTATAGCAATTAAATTTTTAAAGAATTCTTTTGGCTCTGCACGTGGGGTTAATGTTTAATTTATACTTTTAGTAGTAGTAGTTGTTGTTGTTGTTCTTGTATACAGTATTTTGAATTGAAATTGAAAATATAATAATTTTAAAGTTTGCCCATTTCAATTGAAACAATGGCAAGTCTAAAAAAGTTTAATTAGATCGGGTTTTATTTTGCGGTTTTGTGTAATGTCTAAGATAAACTTTAATTTCATTTTCATACTAACCTTCTTTTGGTCTTTTTAATGAACGGCCGTGTATTTTGATCAATAATCAATCAGGAAATAATAATAATAATGTCAGGTCACATGACACGGCATAAACACACACTGATACCAACACACAACAGCAGGGCGCACCATAGCACAGATCATCACAGCACAGGGAAAGTATACTTGTTATGAGATGTAACCCATATTGATCTATTCATCAAGTTAAATCCTAATGAACTTTGAAATATATATAGGGTGATTAAAATCACATTCTCGGGTATATACACAGCAAATAATGAACTTCGGAATCCCGGACAATTCCAAGCAATATAATCAATACAACATAAATCAATGACATGAAGTACATTACCCACAAGTGTGTCTAGAATTCTTTTTTTTTTTTTTTTTGGTCATGTCAAGAATAGTCTCTGGACTTTTAGTTTCTATTATTTTATGATTCGACGACAATGAAATATTCTCATAACCTTTAGTTTTAGCTTAAGTTTTGTCTTACATTAAATTCATGTACATTATGCATGATTATGAACAATCAATTATAACCATCAATAACAATAATTTGATTTTACTTATTCAGTATTAGCGATGATGCTCATTGTTCATTTCATGTATTAGTAATAGAAATATCAACAACAACAGCAACAGCAACAACACTAACTTTAATAAATCATATTCAACCATGTTAACTCCGCCTTATGTGTACCTACTTTTTTGTTTAATACCGATGTTTGGTTTTTTTACCCACCAATGGTATTATCGTAACTGAAAATCATGAGTCTTTCATCATATGAATCATCTTTCGCTAGTCATTTTTTTTTCCTTCATTATGAACACTTATCTGTTAATATACACAAGATGGATGATTGTCATATACCCAACACCGAACGGAATTTTAGTTTTCTTTTCTTTTCTTTTTCGTTAAATTTGACCATGACTAATATTCTTACTAATGGGCGATTGTTTATTTTTTTGTGATGTTGTTTTTGTTTCATTATCAACACATTTTACTACAGTGATTTATTCTTTCTAATATTTATTATTACACTTAATTTATTCTCACACTATATATTATAACGTCATTATATCTAAATCTCTCACATTAACAGTTGTTCATCAATACGAAAACAAAAATATAAACATTGAATATCTCTCTTTTTCTATTTTTCATTTAGTCACTAAATAAAATTCAATTTGCAGTGGTGTAATATGGACCAGTTGATGTATTACCACCAGATTCGTCACCTGTAGTTACCCCGGTTGTACCAACACTGGTTCCACCATTCACATTATAAGCATGATGAGAGTGTGGATGTTGTTGTTGTTGTTGATGATGATGATGATTTGAAGATACACCAGCAGCTGAATTATTACCTGTAACTAACGATGGGATAACTTGACCTTGTGGCTGCAAACCTGATACTCCATTAGAAAAAGATGGTAAATTATGAGCACCACTACTACCACCACCACCACCAATAGAAGTACCATTAGATGTAGAACTATTTCCATTATCGTAATCACTATTTCCTGAATGAACCGTTCCATTTGTTGAGGAACTAGTAATATAACCACCATTACCGCTATTAGCAAACCAGGAATTTCCACCATTTACAGGCGTCATACCACTTGGTCCACTGATACTTGATGTACTTGTGGTTGTTGCATTACTTCCTGTTGAGTTTCTAACTGTACTGTGGTTAGTGTTACTATTATTATTATTATTGTTGTTGTTATTATTATTACCATAACTGTAGCCTGTACTTGGGGTATTAAATTTTTTGTTATTGTTGACCGAGGTGGAATTTGAAGTTACATTTGTAGATGATGATGAAGGGGTGCCGCCATTTGTGGCAGATGATGAATTGGTAGGTCCAGTATTTGGGGTGTGTGAACTGGCATGATACGCACTTCCACTTGAACTTGTCATGACACCATATTGATCATTTGATGAAGATGTAGTAGTATTAGTGGTAGCGTTATTGTTTGGAGTTAAATGATACTGATAAATTGGTCCATAGACTGATCCAGCTTGTGGAGGAGGAAACGTAGCATATTGATTAGAATACAAGTCTGGAGGAGGACCTTGTTGTTGTTGCTGTTGACCATTACCTGATGTTAATGTGGTTGTAGTGACTTGTGGTGGTATGGTAGTATATTGAGTATATTGACCATATTGCTGTTGTTGCTGCAGCTGTTGTGATTGCTGTTGAACAAGATTAATTTGTTGTTGAGGGGAACTTGACGTAGTACTAAGGGTTTGTTGTTGATAGGTGTTATAAGGACTAACAGAAGCATTAGTATATACTTGACTTGCATATGGGTTTGTTGAAGATGAATGTTGATGGAATGGATTAATAAATGGAACCTCCAGGGAATTATTGTTATCATCACCAGGACCACCAGAAACCACATTTGAATATTTATTATTATAAACCCTCGCGATATTTTTTGAATAATTAGAATAACTCTTAGCACCATTATTAGAACCAGATGTTGGTGCAACCATGGACATGGTATTCATAGTATTGGTTTGTTGAATACTTGGATCTAAACCATAATATTCTTCATCTTCAATTGGAGTCTTACCACCTAATGAACTATCTTGAGCAGCTGTCCATAAACATGGATGGATTTGAACATTTTTTAAATCAGATTCAGATGGACGTTGAAGTCTTCCATTATCAATATCCTGCTTGGAATAATAACTTATTAAATGTATGGTTTGTTTACCTTCACGTCTTTCAAAATGAACATCTTTATTCGTCGTACTTATGGTAATTGTTTTCTTAACTAATCCGTCCTGCAGTATGCATGCAGAAACTAAGGGACCATTCAGCAAATTGGGTCTATAATCATTAATACCATTGTAAGAACTTGATGCAGGTATAACATTAGACGGGATGTTAGCCACGGGTATAGTTGAATGATGGGGACCCATAGAAGTATGATCATTTCCAGAAGGTAGAATCATTGAATTCAATCTGATACTCTTGTTTGGATGTAGTTGCATATTGTCATTGACATCTTCATCTTCCATGCCATACTTTCTCTTTTTCTTTTTCTTCCCATCTTTGTCAGTCAAACTTCTCTTGTCCAATTCTCCATAAACTAAAAATCTTCCTTGAATTCTTGAAGGGGACCAAGAAATTCCATCAGTCCAACGTTTAATACCGGATTGTTGCTCAATGAAAACAAACACTGCACCTGATTTAATGATTAAACTTCTTTCTCTTTCATGGGGTCTTCTCGTTACTGATTCCAATTGTTTATCTAGAACCTCTTGTATTACTAAAAGTGCATCTCTAGTAGAATGAATATACCCATGATATGTAGATGATAATCTAGACGCCGACATGGCTGACTATTATTATGTTACCTAAGGTTAGGTAAATACTTGACTAATATAATCCCAAATAAAACAAATAATTGACCAGGAGAAACAATTATCCTAAAAAATATATATATATTTTTTTTCTTGCTTGTTTCCTTTTTATTGTGGATATTTTAATTTAATTCTTCCAAAAAAAAATATAATGAAAAGAAAAAGAAAACAATTGCCTTTCCAAAAAAAAAATTACTTAAATTAAATTGTAAAGGTACAAAGGATGTAATATTACAATCTTGCAGGAATAGTCGAAGGACAAAGTAATACTAATAATAATAATAATAAAGGGAAACCCAAATTCAATTTTTTTTTTATTCAAAAAGAAAGGAAATGGAAGCAAATGAAGGTACCGAATTAAAAAAAAAAAAGGAAAAATTAGAATCTCGGAAATGTTTCAATATAAATATATGTATGATCTGTGGGAATCTTGCACAAAAATTTCCAATCTAAAGATATGCAGGTAAGGAGCAGGTTCTTTTCTCCTTTGTTTCTTTTTCTTACAAAAAGAAAAACAAAATTGAGGAAACTTTTAGAAACGAAATTCAATTGTTGTAGATTTGGTTGCCCTACTCGGATAAATACTTAATAATGTAATTGTCGATTATTATTCTTTGAATTATCGTTCAAGTTGTCTGCCCACAATATTATGATTGAAAAAAAGGAAGACGAATTTGAAAGGGAATAATAAAGAAACAAAGAAAAATAAAATACTGTGCTCTGGAAGGAAAGGAAAAAATAATTCGACTCAAACAAAGAATATGTATGCTGCAAGGGTTTTCGTTTTTGTCCAAGCAGAACCAAAATGATTTTTTTTTGTTTAATAAAAACACTAATAGAAGGCCAAAAACAGGGAACAACTAATGTAGTAGTAGTAGTAATAGTAGTTGAAATCGTTTGTTGCCTTAGATTCAATATGTACACAACAAAAGAATTATGATTTGTCAGTGTAGTTAATTAGTCTGTATGAGGAAATGTTCTGTAGGGAATGCGCCTTGAATCTGGAATGTCTGAGGCGTCTAATGGATGCAAATGATCTGACTTTGCTGTAGTTGTGTTTGATTTGTAATTGTGATTTCAAATGTTGTTATTGTTATTGATGTTGTTGTTGGAGTTACGATAAGTTTGTCGCAAACACCAAGAAACAGTTCAGAACGTAAAGGTACAGATGAATAAAAGAAGAAAGTGTTGTGTCGATTTAGGAAACTGATAGGTCTACTTGAGTATCAGTTAGTGAATATGAACTATTATTTCTATGTTGTATAGAAGGACAGGTGGTTGAAGCAAGCAGTAAATAGATTTGTTGATGATCCTATGCCTGATGATAGGTGTGTGATGAATCGTTGCTTGACAGTTGGATAAAGGATTGGTTGTAAATATATGAAAAGAAACAGAAGCAAAATAAAAGCAAAACCAAATGGCAGCAAAATAAATTTTTTCTTTAATCTGAGGACAAATGTGATTGACTTTATACAGCAGCAAGAAATTTTTGTCACTACGGTGAGAGAGTGAGAGAGAGTGAGAGGAGAGCAAAATCATATTAGAGTGTATATAAGCTATTCTGTATTTTTTCTTCTTATTTTGCAAACCAACTGACTAAAACAAAAGACAAGTATTGTAGGTCGTTGTTGTTGTATTGCAAGAAGTAAGAAGATAGACTTTTAGTCGGGGTGTGCATAATGTGTAAAGTATGTATGTATCAAGGCTTATATTTTTTTTATTCCATTTAAGCTTTTCTTATAATTCTTTTTAGGTTTTGTACCATATCATGGTTTTGTGCAATGTGCGCAAATATTATTTTTATAAAACTTATTTAAGTGTAGTTGCAGCTTGTGTCATGAATGGCTTTGTGTAATATGTGGATTTTTAGCATTCTTGAAACAAAAATTACGGATATTTACTTCCGTTTACAGACAACCAATTTTTTTTTATTGGCTGGATTTCATTTCTGACTGTACAGTAATGGACATATGTTCAACGAAGTCAATATGTTACTCAGACCACGAGGCAGTGGTGTTGATTTCATATGTATAGGCGTCAGTATAGCCGGATTTATACCGTTGCATAACATAAAGATAGGCAGACCATACTTCAATGGAACCAGTATGTAACATTTGCACTGGAATAAAATACATTAATAATCACATATTACATTAGTAATTAAAGTATTATAAATTACAGAAACTGTTAATGATGTCAGCTTCTGGTATCAAATAGTCTAGACTACTTGCTAAAATTAGCCGTGCCAACTATTTGAAGGCAGAGAAATTGAGAGATAATTACCATCCTTCTCTCTCTCCTCTACCTCCCCCTCCCATGACTGGTCTGTTTACAAGTGTCATAAAAACTATTTCGGTAACTTTTCAGTTTCCAAATCACTATTCCTGTGTCGGTTATAATCACCAGTTGAATTTGACAGGTTTGATAATTAAAGTGGATATTAAATTCCTTTAGGACGGAGGAACACGAAGAGATATGCACATTTTTTATTTTTCCTTTCCTTTTCATATTCAAGTACGAGATAATAAACGAATAAAGACTGCTTAAAAATAAAAACAAGCCCTTTGTAATTCCTTCCATGAATTGTATTTTGTATGATAGAAGCTATGTAGAAGCAATCCTCATCCTTTTGAATCCCAACATGTTAGTGTTTATTGCGCGTGTACAACAACATTTTAATTATCTCTACTGCATACATTCATTATAAGAATATGTGCATGTAAATAAATAAATAAATCAGATTATGATCCACTGCTGTTAAATCATAGCTGTGACAATTTGTCTCAGATTTCTATTTTGATCGTTGATCATTTTAATTAAGAATATATCACGTGAAAGTCAACTTTACTGCTGACAGGGGATATTATTATTATTAGTAGTAGTATTATTTGCAATAATTACATGAACCAAGACCCAGTAATTTAAACCCTGGTCATGCATTAACCACTGGCTGGTTCTATAGAATAATTCGGTTCATTTGTTACATTAACTCCCAATCAAATGTAACAATTAACCAACATACATTGCTTTATGTGTCTAATGTAATGTATGCATTGAAAAATATTTCTCCATTCAATTGGAAACACCACCAAAAAAAAATAAATATTCCGACACAGTTACACTACAAGCCATTATTATTATTATTATTATTATTAGTAATAAATATTATTTGACATTTAAAACTGCAAATTACGTAATACAAATATCTGTTATCAATATATGTGATAAGCACACTTATCACTGGTGTTAGTACAGTTGTGTTGATGTTGGTATATAATACATATGCTCATCATTTATCTACGAGTTATACTTTTAGTTTATAGTTGGTATCTGGTTTGTGGGTAAGTATCTTGATTAACGTGTCCCTTATATTTAACTATATACGCAAAATCATAATTTTATTTATACAATTTGCATTAGAAACCTTGTTTACAACTACCATGTAACCATAAACTATATTTGCATACACATCAATATCATCATGATGAGCATTACTTTTAATAAGCTTAATAACAAAATCCTCAATGTTTTAAATAGAATAAGAAAAGGGGCATTATACATATAGACAGAAAGGAAATAGAGTTTTAAGAATTAATAATTATTGACTTTTAATTCATCTAAACCTCTCTCTCCCCTTCCCTTCCCTTTTTAACTTGAGTTCTTTCTCCTTCAGCCATTGCTTATTCTTGCTACTCCTCTTTTTAGTTCTGCACTTTCCTCTAATCAACATGCATGAAAAAATAAAAAAGAAAACTAAAAACTGAAAACTGAAACAAAAACAAATATAATTGTGACTAGGTACAAGTAAGACAGATCACTAGATACGAGACAGAAATGTTGATAATTGATGATACCAAATAAAATTGAATCGTTTTAACATCGTGTCAAGTGCCTCCACTTTATTGTTATCAGTTCACGATGATGATATATTGTACAAAAGAAAGAATCAGCTGTTTTTCTTTTTTTGTTTTACATATTAATTTCTTTTATTTAGTATCACATCCTCTTTTCCGCAGAAGATTTCTCTTTCGATCTTTAAGGTTTTGGAAATATCACTATCTCTATATGTTTCTCTCTCTCTGTGTTTCGTCCTATTTGCCTCCAATGTTATACAGAGTAACAACAACCATAATTGTCCCCTCCTTCTCCCCCTCCAGAGACTCCCACAAAAGTATCACGACATCTCATTTACTCCTCCACACCAGCGGACTTTTCAATAAATATATGCTTTGTTTATTCATATATTAAGTTTACACTTTGTTTTACATAAGTGAGAATAAAAACAATCAACAAACTATTCTAATACGATTGATATTTGTTCTTCAAAAAATATAAACTAAAAAAAGAAAGTTAGTTTTCCGTTTTCTTTCTAATTTCAACGATAGTCGTTCGGGTATTTTAACCAATTATTCAGGATGGTCTTTCTTTCTCTTTAGTAATAGATCAACTTTGTTTTTAAATACCTAACCGAATATTCCAGGTTATGAAACCCAAACTAAATAAGTAACACAAATACCTGACATCATGAGAACATATATTCTGTTTCTTTTCATTTACTTCTAATGAATTTTTTATTATTATTATTATATCTAATAACAAATAAAGTCTTTATTAAGTTTCTTTGTTCATTTTAACATTACTCTTCTTAGGTTAATGGTCTTTTCATACCCAGAAAACTATACATTTAAATATTATGATAGATGCATAAAAAGTTGAAAGGTTAAAAAAAAAAAACTAAACTGATCTAATTGCTTCGAAGTGTTACCTTCAGAATGAATGTTATATTTTCTTCAAGAAAGAAGCAAGCAAAAATTATCTTGTTGGGTTTGAGTAGTTTTATCGTGAGTGTTTCATAACATTTCGTTATTAAAGTTTGACTTTGTATCAAGGTTTCAAGATTTAACTTCTTAATACACCCCCCAAAACATAACCATAAAAGAATGAACAAAGTTGATAAAGTTTTTTACTGTTTG